GTCAAAGGAAGACTTCTATACAATTATAAAAATGTGTGGAAGTTGTAAGGGTGTCGGTGCGATCGGAGGAGGGACGGCGGAGGCGAGGAAGAATGTAGTTGGGGCAACATAGGTGATTAGAAAAAAATCAATCGTGAATTATGAAAATCTAAGGTTTACATTTGAAATGGTAAAGAGTTTTTTATGGTGAGATGAAAATCTTGGGAACATAAAAGGTCAAAATTTGAAAAAGTTTAAATTTTCAATGTCTATTGGAAACCAAAACTAAATATGGTAAAGATAAAACTTAAAAGTATGAGTTATAAAAGGTGAAGCATTGTTGAGTCATACCATATGTATAAATGACTTGTAATTAAGATTTTTAAGAGTTTATGCATAAAGAAGCAATATCTTATACATTTAAGGTTGTTTTTAGGACTTTTATCAAATCTGTTTTATAAGATATAGATAAGACATTATTTTTCTTTTCTATATTTATAATTTCAAAGTTTTTTATCGTTAAAAATATAGTAAATTTCTTTTTTCTCTTAAAGAATTCTTCAAGTTTAAAGATTTCACACATTCTCTCATACTTTCCTCATTTTGAAGAAATTTTTTGAAAATTTTGTTGGAGTAAGAAACTATTCAAAATCATAATTTTCTCTGTTTTAGAAAATATATTAAGGATTTGGTTCCTAAAATGAACTATTTATACTGATGGTCCCTGACTATTTGATTTCATAGTACTCAGGGTTTTTGGAGTTAACACCGTCAGTTAGTATCATTATAAAGGACGAACCAGTATTTGCACAAACTACAAGAACCAAAAGTATAATTCACTCTAAAATGAATTGTGACTCAAATTAAATATATATATATATATATATATATATATGGAATCCAAATCAAATTTTTTATAAAGTACATATTAAATAAGAAATTTTATATCTATACTATTAAATTGACAAAATAACTTTTGCATTATAAAATCTCAAATTTAGAAAAACAAAGAAAATCAAGAAAATTCACATAGTTTTTAGGTTGGGTATTGAAATAAGCAAGCAAAGCGACATTGTTTGACAAATATAAATTAATTTATTTTTTGGATGCACGTTTGGATGAACAGAAACTAGCTTATAAATTAAATTATTGAAACGTTACTTGAAGTAGCTTATGTTATGAGGTGTTTTTTGTCTTTTTTTTTTCAAATATAGCCGCCTCATTAATATTAATTAATTTATTACTATTAATTATAGACAAATATTAATAAAATTAATTATTAATAAATAAAAATAAAATTTAATTGTTACTAATTAATATTAATAGATATTAATTAATAGTACTTAATATAGTTAAAAATTATTAATTAATATTAACTACCCATTATACATTAATATTTTATTTAGAATTATTATTAGCGATGTCAATTATTTTTATGTTATTATTTTTTTATTATTGACTCGTTTGACTAACTTACTTTGCTACCTCCATATTCAACTTATGAATCCAAATTACTAGGGGTGCATAGAATGGGCCGAGTTTGACGGATTAACTCTTATTTAAAATATCCAACTTAATTACGACGGTTTGAAAAAATCTCAACCGAACCTAATTTAATTCACCACACTTTCACGTTTTGGATTCGTGAGTTATACAATAGCCAGATTTTACGAAAAAAATTAGAAAAGAAGAAACATTACTAGAAATTTACACAACCGGAATATTGCAATCATCCAATTATTATTCGAGTGTTTAACTATTACAATTAAAATTCAAAAATTTAAAATGAAGAGAATGAACCGAATTGTCAATCAACAATGAATGGCTTAGAGACATTAACGGAAAAATTGAATGAAAGTATCTCGGGTTTGTGTGCAGATAGGACTTTCACAAACGGGAAGCATACCAACCAAGACAAAAACAATCAGACAAGATGAACATCGTGAGATGAGCCTCAAGCCCTTTGAATTTAGTCAATTTATAACGTGTATAGAATTATATAATTTATATATATTATTGTGAACTTGTGTGGGATTAAGTTGTAAAAATTTAGCCAATCCCAAATTTGCATATAATTATATATAATTATAATTTATATACTGGTAACGGATTGATAAATTGTATTGAAGTGTCTAATCTAATTTCAACTCTACTGTTAATCTAATCAAATTATTTTGCGAGTTGAGTTGAACTATTCAATGGTTTAATCGGGTTCTGACCATTGATAAATAAGAATTCTATGATCCACCGTTTAATGGTTTAATCGGGTTCTGACCGTCTACAAATAAGAATTCTATGATCCATCTATCCAAATAGAATGACTAATGTGATGTTTATTTTTTAATGGTGTTGAGGTCGAGTTTTTTGCAAAAATGGGTTGGTTTTGAAAAAGGTTTGTAGAAATAGGTTAGTTTTAGTTTTATTGGTAGAAATAGGTTAGTTTGTGTGGGACCCACTTATTTAAAAAAATTTGATTTTGTAAATTTACAATTTTTACCCTCCAACTTACATTTTCATTTTTATTTATATCCTTTATTTTGTAAAATTTTATATTTAACCCTTATTATATATTATGTATTAATTTATTTAATTAAAATATATATGTTAAAATTTACGTATTAT